TATGCATTCATGTGAGACGGTAAGTGCATGCTATGACGGAGTAGCTTGTAGAACCGCTTTTTCTCAACAATAACTTGAAACAACTTGAAATAAGTGATTCCTGTCTCTCATTTCACTGTGGATGATATTTTCCTGCTCTTTTTTCTGTTGCTACAGTTCATTTAAGTTTGGCATTCGTTTGTGCACAACTCTCTTGAAGTCTTGCCACAGCAACAATTAGGCTGAGGTCTGGAATGTGCCTGGATCAATGTGCCACCTTTATTCTTTTCTATTGCAGCCATTCTGTTGAAGATTTGTTGATGTGCTTGGGATCATTGTCCCGTCACCGACCTTTTGGCAAAGCTTTAGCTGTCAGATATATGTCTCACATTTATCTTTAGAGTACTTTGATATACAGAAGAGTTCATGGTCAACTCAGTGACTGCAAGGTGCCCAGGTCCTGTGCCTGCAAAACAAGTACAAATCATTATAGAGGTGACTACAAATGGAATCTATATGCCGAATCACATGTTTCAAACACACTGTTTGATACTTGCTGGGAAACTTTGTTGCATGTCAGGTCCCCTTGTTCTTACCGAAGCTTTCTGCAAAAATACTTCTAAAAATAGTTTTGCTGGTCCAAAAGTCCAAAAGTGAAAATCTGCTTTTGTAATAGGAAAGTAGTGACAGATGAGTTTGAGACCTAAGCAGACTTGTTTTTGCAGCTCTCAGAAACTCACTTCATTTTGAGAACATTTTCACACCCAGGCTGTAAAAATCCTAAATGCCTAGTCTAGTTCATGCCAAGTAAAGCCAAAAGAAGAGCCACGCAAGCCTCACAGCAACAAACACATACAATAGAGAGACATTAGTGAGCAGCTGAATTGAAATGTCTTTAGTGCATGGCTCATTTATGTGTTTTTGCTCGTTTGGATTCGCTTTGTGTGCAGACTCTGTTTGCACACACTTTGAATTTGCTGATACCAGTGCTGGTGCAGAGTTATGGGTGGAGCTGGATATGTGGCAACCACACACACACACACACACACGGGCGTGCACACACACCACATACACACACAAACTGACACTCAAAGAGAAGAATTAGGTTTTATTCTTAAGGCTTTGGCAGCCATAAATTTTTAATGAAGGGCATTGAATCGATGTTAAAAAGAGACTTGGAAGCAAGGAGGTGAAAGAAAGCTCTCATGTTCTTCTGTTTGCACCTCTGCAGATGTGTGTGAATAAAATGGAGAATATATAAGGAAGGAAAAGATAAAGACACAACTGATTGCCTGGGGCAGTTTGTATCAACCTGTTGTTCAGGTTGATGCAAGGTTGCAGGTTGATGTATAAACATTCAGATTGCACATAAACAGTCAAATCTAAGCTGGTATAAACCTGCAGGTTAGAATAATATTATGTAGTACATGGTGTAGCTTGCTATCTACCTTAAGGAAGGACAGAGCAGGAGAGCAGTCTGCTGCAGCTCAGTCATCCTGTGACAGTGGTGTACCTGTGCAGCAGGCTGACATGGATATGCCTCCTGGGGGGGTGCATGGAGACAGGGCTGGGGAAGGGAGAGATGAATGAGAGGGAGGAGCCGGTGGCCGGTGATGAATGCCACCTGACACCTGAGCCAATCTGGGTCACTGGTTTCTAGGGACTTATGAAAGGCAGCACAGACCTGACTGGAACTTGTGAGTTGAGTCATTGGCTCCAGACTTTACCTCATAAACATGCGGCTGTGATAGACTGTAACAACAAACATAAGCAGTCACGCCAGTTGCCAACCTTCATTAATTAATGAAGAATGGGTTCAAGAAATACTTAAACATCAGTGTAAACATCATTTTGCTTTCTTCACTTCTCTCACAAGCAGAAAGGGATGAAACACTGCAGCCACGCTTATTTAAAATGACCAATTAGCCTTAATTTAAAGTATTTTTCTGCAACTTGGTCTATTAAAATTACCTCTAGGTGGCACTAAGCATCACACAACTCAGCAATTACACAACATATAACCTACTGAACAGCCTGCATTCATGTGTGATGTGAGGGAGCATGAAAAGTATTCTCTGAAGTTTCCTGAGTCTCACGGTCAATGTGTGAGAACCGCCAGCTCAAATACGCTCCGATTCAGCTCCTCCGCAAAATCCAAACAGTTAACCTTTTCTCCCACCTCAGCAAGCTGATGTTAGGTGGGAAGCCTCACAAAGCAAGCTGTGGTTGATTCACAATCATTTTTACATCTTTTTACATTTCCATTTTGAGGCAACCTACAGTTTTGCTGGAGTCAGTGGGCCATTAGCGTTTCCCTGTGTTTTACTTTAAGTGATCACGATTGTGCTGATTGCATCTTTCTTACCTGTGTAAAGAGTCAGCCTAATGAGATGACTGACAGATTATGACTAACTGTCTGTTAATGCTGGTTTTGATGGGAAAATCACAAACAGGTTTTCTGTTAACTAGCTATGAAAGTGTTGCTGGTATTGTTTTCGCCTTGTGAGTCTTTCTGCATCTCTCCTTGTGTTTGGGAAATGTCCTTTGGCAGGACTACAACAGAGGGAGTTTTGAGCACTTTGACAGGCATTTAAATGTAACCTTGGATTGTTGTGAAAATGTGCAGGTGTGGTCCAATCCCCGGGTTGGCACCTGAAGAAGAGGGCACACCAGTGCCACATCCTTTTAACCTTTTCGAATCTAAATCATCATTAGTGACCCTAACCCTGACTTTACTTGATGTCTGTCACTTAAAACGATGACTGACTACCATGAACTTAGGGTCAGGGTCATCATGACATTGGCTTAGATCTCACAGTTTTACATTTATTAATGGATTTGTAGCTTTTCATTGGAAGTATTGTCATCTAGGGTAAGAAGATGTAATATTTACCTAACACAATGTAGCTAGTAATGTTTTCACTCTGTGGTTGTGTCTGTCCACGTGTCCGTTTTATTATGGCAAAAAGTGGCGCTGGAGAATGAAAACCACTGCAGCAGGAACAATCACAAAGGTGACTCTGACTGCTTTGGCAGGTGTGTCTGTCTGTAGTGGAGAGAGTTTACAACAATCCAAGTTCCATGCAATAAAACTGTGCAAGCCTGCTATTAACATAAAATGAAGATTAGATTTGAAGAAGTCTGTGGTCCTAGAACTAAAAGCTGGTAATCCTACCACATTGTGCTTTATCAGCTGCTAAAAATACCAAAATGATCTTGGTTACAGTCTGCTTAATCACCCGACTGCTGAGACTGTTTTGATACTTGATAAATTTAAGAATTACTTTAAAAATCACCAGATTTACTGCACTTGTATCATTCCTATGCCTCTGTTAGACCAATATCTCTTATCATTTACCTCTGAAATTGTTTATGGTGAATGATTCCTGTGGAGTAGATGTGCCCACAGGCTGAAAAATAGGAAATCATTAAATGCTTATTTTGGATATATTAATAATAATGTGTAAAATCTCTCTATTTTCATCTCTCTGTCTCAACAGTTTTTTGTCTGCACCACTTCAGAGTTGGAGAGTGTTTTGCTGGGGACCATCTCGATGAGCGGGTCTCATTTAATGGAGTGAAGTGACTGCTGCCTGCGCCACTCTGTGTGTATTTGGCGAGAGGGATACAGACAAACTTTCTCTCTGTTCATGAGAACTCTCTAACAGTTATGTTCTCATGACTTACTCTAGGTTTAAATGTCTCAATAAAGCACCGTCTATCCATTGATTTTCTTCTGCTTATCCAGTTCAGGGCTGCAGGGTTGATGGAGCCTATCTCAGCTGCCACAGGGCGAGAGGCGGCATACATCCTGGGCAAACACTCACATTTACACCTTTGAGTAAAGCTGGAGTACCTGGAGAGAACCCACACAGATGTGAGGAGAACATGCAGACTCCTTTAGTTTTTACTGACTTTTTAAAAAAATCTCCTTTTTCTTTATTCTCTTCTTTAATGTAACAAATGTGTCACAATGTGACTTCAGTCACTCACTCGGGTGGTTTGGATCAGCACTCCTTGAGAGAACTGCAAGCCGCACGTTTTACACAGGCACAGTTACATACCAGCAAGTCTATCACAGAAACCTGGCAATTCCCTGTGCACCGCACATCTGCCAGCTGTAGCTGTGACAAAATAACAAAGGTTATCCTCTATAGATGGGGTTCTGCATTACTTTAAATGAAATGACCATAAGTTCAACTCACTAAGCCACACGGTGTAGTTTTGCAAAATCAAACTCAATAATTATTGTTGTTGTTGTTTTTGGATGTACTGATGGGGTTGCATTCTAATAAGGGCAGAGCACAAGTCAGCTCTGGTATGTGCTACAACATGGGTGTGGTTGGAACACACACACACACGACAAAACAGCCTCCTGGGTTCTTTTTAAGCCTCTTCCTTCTCCTCAGCGTCGAGCCGTAACAAAGTGCTCTGGGGATAAAGAAGGAGGTGAGAAATGAGTTGGGGCTGAGCACAAGTTGTCACCTCTTTGTCACTTCAGTGAGCCGCAGCCTGAACACCAGCTTCATGTCACTCAAAATCATTCAGGAGTACACTGCTCACAGCTTCACGCAAGTCACACTAGTTTTCACACATTACACTTTTTTCCCAGTCCTGAGACAAAATCTGTCACTTGCTGGAATCTCAAGGTCACTCACAACATGTGCGACAGACGCTGGCACATCACCATATCAGCAGCCACATCTGAAGACCAAAGAGCCTTGGCCCTCATTTATGTCCCAACGTGCACCATTCTTAAGAAATACGGGCTATTTTTTTTATTTCCCTTTCTTGGATTTTTGCCGATTGTCTGATCTAGAGCTGATATAACCGACCTGCGATCGTCTAACGCCCCCTCGCGTCTGAGGTGCAGCACATCACTCCTTCAATCCCCTGCCATCTTCTTCTATTGTCTCCCCAAACCAGTAAGTAACGTTGCCTATTTATACGACGGTTATGAAAAAGATTGTATGACGCAAAACTGCCTGAGTGGGCTGTTCGGCGGACGCTTCGGCACAAATCGACTAGAAAAACACAAGACACAAACTTGAGCCCTCTACTTGATCCCTTCACCGCGAATCATGTGGAATCAGCGGAAAACATGATGAGTGCGTAATCCTGACACGCTTTCTGCTCAGTGCAGAGGGCACAGGCTGCACAAAGGGGATCATTGTTGCCTGCAGATGCCCGTCAGTGGTGCAGTCGCTCTTTGAAGGCTCTCCAATCGCAGCGCATAGCGCGACGAAGGAGGGCGGGGTTTGTCTTCCGTCCCCCATTACTGCTCCAAGCCCCTCTTTGGCACAGCGTCCCATTGACTAGACTGTGACAAACCGAGCAGCGTGCTTCACTGCGTCTCTGAACTCAGCGCTCTCAAAAGTGGACTCGTGATGTCTGCGAGGACGCGCATTCTGGGCTCGAGGAGATAAATGACGCGCACCTGCAGAGGGTCGCGTTTTGGACAGGTATGAGACCTGTGGCACTCGCGGATGAGGAACCGGCAGATCTTGCGAAGATCTGAATGCAGCTCAGTATCACACTTCCATTCAACCACCGGGCCTGGCGCATGGATGGATCCGGCTGCACTCATGGAATACAAAGCCCGTGAGCATGCCCGTCCGAGCCCACCGCTCTCCGGGAGCCTCTCCACAGCGTCATCCTCCTCCTGACACAACCGCTCCACTCGGACACCCACCGGTCACTTCAAGTCCCGTCGCCATGAGGACGACTGCTCGGTGATTCGGTGCATCTGCGCGCCCGCACGGACCGGAGACCTCCCTCCCCCCTCTCTCTCTCTCTTTCTCTGTCTGTGTGTGTGTTTTGGGGTTTGTGCTTTTGTTGGCCGTACACCGGATTTATCTGTGCGGCGAGCTTCCTTTGTGTCAAAGGGCTTAACGCAGAGTGCGCGGAGGGCGACAGAGCGGGGGCTTCGCTTCGCCCGCTGTTGCGCACAGCTGCTCTCTTTGTGCCGGGTCGTAATGGCAGCGGGACAGCCGGAGGCGCAGGACCACACGCCTGAGAACGGCTTCACTCCGTTGGAGCGCCCGGCGCCCCGGCTGCTGCCGCACATCGACGGCTCCGTTCTGCCGTCTCTCGGGGGCTTCGGGAAACACCAGAAGCAGCTCGTGGTCCTGACCTGGATACCGGCGTTGTTCATCGGCTTTAGCCAGTTTTCGGATTACTTCCTCCTGGCGCAGCCCAATGGCACTTGCGTGCAGCCACTGGCAAACGAAAGCGACTGGACCGCGGCGACCCCGCCGGTCACCGTCACCAGCATCGCGCCCTCGTTGAAGCCCACAGGCAACGGCACCGGGCACGGATACGGCGACGGCGTCGGAATGCTGTGCGCTTGTAAGGAGTGGAGGCTGGAGCTGCAGACGGGACTTAGTCAGAATGTGGTTACCAAGGTAACGAGTGAGCGCCATAGACCCATAGTGTTATTCAGGGGTGGGTAGGTGGGGGGATTGCCGTCATCATCACTACTGCCAGCCTCAGACAGTTGATTGACACGTTACCCACTGACCCGCGTACTGTTTATTTATTTATTTATTGTGCTTTGGAGTGAGCTGGTGCTGCCTGGTACATCAGTTCAAAGAGAATAATGAGACTCTTTTTACATCTTACACTTAAGCGCCTGAATTCCAGAGTGTATGAGTGGAGTGTGCAGAGAGAGAAAGGGAAGAGAGAAAATAGGAGCCCGGAGAGCCTAACACATACACAAACTACAGGACAGAGCCGAAAAAGAGCTAATGACATGAAGTTGTATATAAACAGATGGCGAGTCAAAAGAGGCCAATGAAGGAGAAGCGCTCAGTGCATCATGGGAGGTTTTCGCACATACATTAAGACTAGTATTCCTACCCAAAGCTCTGCTGGTGCTAGTGTCAACTGGTTTATGGCAATAAACTAATACTGAAGCCCTTGTGTCACAATAGCTGAAAACTTTGGTTGACTCATTTATATCGCACAGCGCACAGATAATACAGTAATGATCACATTAGCATACTATTCTACAGGTAGTGGGAGGAGGCAGTATTCAAGCACAATAAACACAGAAGCATAATGAAACTCTGTTTGACATATTTGCCCCGGGGTCCTCAAGCCAGATAATTCTGACATGTGCTTATGTTCAAACCTTAGTTTATTTATTTTTTCTTGGAATCCAATTACAGAGACAGAATTCAGAAAAAAAACCCCAACCAAACTGAATCCTTGTGACAAGAAGTGGCTGAACGTTAATAAGCAACAATGCTGATCGTTGCTTCTGCATTTGTGCATTAATGACACCTGCTTTCTCAGATAAAAGCGGTGCTAAAAGCCCAGACTTAATAAACTCACAGTGGCTGTGTTGTCCAGCCATCATAGAGCATAACCTCTAACTGTCTCTCTCTACTCACTCTTCGTGGTGCAGTTGGATGCTCAGCAGGGACATGTGTAAATTTTTTGTTAAACACCAACATTGGATTCACACACAGCTCAGTCACTCCACTGGGCTCTCTTGCAGATGCTGTCAAGGCTATGCACAAGTATGGTGCACACGTAGTGCTTCTGCATGTGTCCTTGGCTAAACTTCAGCTGCTGAGTGCTGCAGTGGTGTGTGCACTGACCCACTGGCTTAGAGGAAAGAGTGGGAAACTATTGATTGTTGTTATAACAGACATACAGCTGCTTTCCCACATGCACTGTGTCTGCTCTCTCTTTGTCTCTCAGAAACACACATAAATATAGATGTGGGATGAACACTTGAATATTTAAGAAGTGTTTGTAGCATGTTTGCAGATGCGTCCAACTTCATGAATTATCAACACAGTGAGTCAGAGAGTGAGAAGAGTTTGACAGGATTCTGATGAGAGAAGCCCACGTTTCTTTTTTGGCTTCTGTGCAGCGTTCATATTATAAGTGTCTCAGCTCCTCCTGATGTCTTATTCCCTTTTAACATGTTGGGAGTGCCTTACTCTGAAAACAATATCTGACTTATGTTTCTCTCATTCTTTTTGTTTCTGTTCCAGTGGAACCTAGTGTGTGACTCGGCCTGGAAGGTTCACATTGCCAAGTTCTCTTTGCTTGTGGGCTCCATATTTGGATACCTGGTGATGGGTGTCATGGCTGACTGGTACGCTGCCTCCTTCTTTGTCTGTTTTGTTAGACTGTAAGGACCATTTTCTTTTCCCACACAGCTTGTAGAGTTTAAAGAAAATGGTCAGTTACCTGGGTGCAAATATCTTCCTAATGTCAAAGGTCAGAGGTGAATGCCCAGAGTGCTTAGAGCTATTATTAGGCAACTGTAACTCAAATCACCACTCGTTCAAACCAAGGCATGCAGAGGAGCATCTCTGAACAACACGTTGAACCTCGAGGCAGATGGACTGTACGGGCAGAAGACCACGCTGAATACTGCTGCTGTCAGCAAATGACAGGAAAATGAGGCTACAGTTTGCATGGATTTCCCAAAATTAAACAATAGAACATGGAAACACGAGCCTCTCTTTCTGCTGCTACATTCAAATCTTGTCAGAATTTCCCATAAGCAACATGAAAGCAAAGATCCATCCTGCATGTAATGGCTCAGGTTGGTGGTGGTGTAAGGGTCCAACCTGGTACTAGCGAGGTGACAAAAAAAAGGCCAGTGAATGTATTATCGAAGGACGGACCAGTTGATTGGGTGAAGATCAGCATCAGCTGTTGACTGTCGTGTCACATCAATCTTTAGCTGGCTAGATATTTAAAAATGTCTAAAATTGTGTGAGGAGGATTTTAAAGCCATTCAAAAATCAATAACAACAAAATCAAACTAAAAAGACAAACAGTGGAATTGGCATTAACCAGATTGTAAAAGTGCTTTATCCAGAGTTATCGAGAATAAGAAAAAAGAAATGTCTGACAGCTTCTCTAGGAGTGGTGGGAAGCTTAAAGAAGAGTATCGCAGAGCCTTAATGGTTAAATATCGAACTATCTGCAAAGCTAAATGATACAATATCTTTTGTAACTGAGCAAAATGCCACTGTCATCAAGTTAATTATGGTCACTTTTGCCGTCTGCAAGCCGCCCGAGTGGCATCGTGGGAAAATAAGCACCTGCATTGTGTTAGGGATCAGCAACTATGCACAACAATGTAAAGAAGCAACGGGGGCCATGAGGCCTCAGTTGGGACCTGACCCAGTGACCTCCTAACCCTCCCCCGCCCCTCCAGACCAGGACGTGCTTAGAGTCTGAAGGAAACGATGAATGCAATGTTCTCTTTCTCCGGACTTTACATGAAAAGTTTCTTTCTCAGTTTAACTGGGTTTTTAAGCTCTTTGCTACGTCTTTATCTCCCTGTCTTTCTCTCTTGTTTCTAAGGTTTGGTCGACACCCAGTGTTGATCCTTTCGGTGCTTTTCATGCTGGTGTTTGGTCTGAGTGTTGCCTTCTCTGTAAATGTCACCATGTTCAGCACCTTGCGCTTCTTTGAGGGTTTCTGCTTGGCGGGCCTTGCTCTCTCCCTCTACGTGCTCAGTAAGTACAAGCCTTCACCTTCTCATGCCTGTTTGCTTGGTCTTTTTCTTCTCTCCTTTTTCTGTTCTGTTCTCTTTCCTGGTGTATCCTTTGCTGTGTTTGGCAATGGCAGTAATGCTATTATGAAAGCCTAGAATAATCTGCTAAAGCCGAAATGAATTTGATCATAACTCAGCAACAGTTAAATGTATCGACTGATATCTTGGGTGGAAGTTTAAATACTCCAGCATAATTGATCATTTCTAAACACTCCACCTTGACCTCTTTGGAAAACATCACACAGTCAAGGGAATCATATAACTCAACTTTGATGCTTAGAAAAACTAACTGCACTTAAACTCGCCTACTTAGCTCTCTGAGGTGTAAGTCATCATAGGTAGTAACACTAACCCTGGCCCTGAATCTCTATTAGGAGCTTCCATTAGTGGATCTGGTGGCTGAATCTGAAGTATGATATGCTTTTATTGTTAAAGTTAGCTGCTACAGCACACCATGATACTCTGTTGCTCAATGTTAAAGTGGAATATGTTTTACAGTAAGGTTGTTTTTTCACTCCAAACATATTCTCCTTGTGTCACGTTCTGCAGAAGAGTCAGAGGTTTTTAAAACCGACACCAGATACTTTCAATTTGACCCCTTTGCATTCTTCACCGCTTCGCTCACTCTTTCTCATTGCTCTGTTGGCCCCCTGTTTCTCAGGCCACAGTGAGATTAGTCATACGTTATGAAGATAAGGCTTTGGGGTGGGTTTTGTCCCTCTCTGCAGGGGTCCTGGATAAATCTCATCTGAACTGCTTTTGAAAACAAACAAGCAAAATAGATTCCCCTGAGCTGTCTGCCAAGAGCCTTGTGAGGAATCAGATTTAATCTGTGATGGATATGAGAATATTTGTTTTATAAATCCAAGATTTGCACGAATATACTGTTCCAATGGGGGATGATCATATTGTAAACATGACCAAAGTTTTAAATAGCGAGATCAGTCCCTATGCTATTAATCCCTGTAAAACAACAGCTCGGGCTTCAGGCTGCTCTAAAATGCTGTTTTCAGGTAGTTTTTTGTACTCTTGGCTCTGCTGTGAGCACAGAAGCCCCTCGCGATCAGGAAACAAAGTATTAAAGGGAGGGGAAGGGAGCTAAAAGATGAACTGTGTGGCTGCATGAAGGCCCAGTATAAGATGCATTAGGGTTGTTTTGAACTATGAATCATGAGTGAATCAAAAAGTCCAAGAATAAAAATGTGTAAATGGAAATGAACATAATAGGTTTCGCTTTGATATTACTGATAACCACTTGGAGTTTGGGTCGTTACAAAGAATATGATATAATAGAAAATGTACGAAAGGCCACAGAATATGATCTCCTCACTCCTTCAGTACTGTACTCGACTGTTAGTATGAGGTGTTTGTGGTGATGTGCTGTGCACTATGGCCAAATCTCCAATGTGGTCTTGTTTGTCCAAAGGACGTTGTTTCACAAGTTTTGTGGTTTGTTCATCTGCAGCTTTACAAACCTAAGCTATGCTGCCAAGTTCTTGTTCCAGAGAAGAGAAAACATCTGTGTGGTCGCAGAAAATAGGCAGGTGTACAGACCTTCACACGAACCCTTGCACTAACAGTCTGATGACTAAATGTACGTCACTGGGACCCAAGCAGACCCTAGTGGACTTGCAGCCGTGGAAAGTATGATCCCCGCTTTAATACTTGTATTTCCTATGGAAGCAGTAAGGATGTGCTTAGCTTTTTCTCGGAGGCGTCATGTTCGTGGGCTGTCAAATTTTTAAAAATGTCATTTAAACAAAAGACGTTGTTTCCCACCTTGTTCCTAAAAAGTCAGAAACCTGTTTTTGTTTCATTATCATTATTGCACTTTTTTCTCACATACATGAATGTCACACAGCATACATTTGATCCTCTGTTTCTATACTTGGCTAATGAATTGCTTCACCCCTTTCGCTGCTGTTTTCACAGTCTGCTTACTAAAGAAAAATGTCTGTAGCGTGGGGCAGTTTTTCTGTGTTTCACTTGTTTGTGTGTTCCAAGCTAACAATGATGGGATAAGTAACTGTTTGTGTGTGGGATTATTTTTGTGTGTGTGTGTGAGACAACAGATTGTCTGTATGCACTTTGAAGTGCAACAAAAAAGGTGTTTGTGTGAGGTGTGGATGCATGCAGTAGGAGGAACATTCGGCTCCCCGCCACAGATTGGTGCTCTTTGAAGTGAACTCAGACTTTGACAGTGAAAATAGATGCTGGCATCCCATTAACAGTAAAGACTACCTACTGTACTTACACCTGACAACAGAACAGTGGAACACAGTTTGCAGTTGTTTTCATTGCAAGCTAAAAACACACACATGCAGGTGGAACTGTTAATAGAAAATTTCTTCATACTCTACTGGTATCACCTTCTGTTGTTTGCCAAGAGAGGTAGAGTAGGACAGAAATAGTGAAGTCAGTCAACGACATATTGTTTTGTTCGTTTGCCTGTAATGGCTACCTTGGATTTAATTTTAAGTGGTCGTTTCCTTTTGTTTCATCTTCGAAGCACCTGGTATTCCCCAGGCAGCTTAATGATGCCGTGACTGTGCTATCTTCTCTGAGATCTAGGAAAGACGTCCTGCAGGGCAAGAGAAACACAGCAAGCCAGGCGATCGGACAAGCTGGGAATCTTTCTAAGTTTGCATCCTATCTTATGTGGAAAGCAGTCAAAGCAAACTGACCAAACTGTCTCCACACAGCTTTCAGGCTGAGCTCCTGCTTTTTTAACAACTTTTATTGCGTAGGATGCTTTAGAAAATGGTTTACTCTCAGTCAACTGCTGACAATTAGAGGCTCAATAAACACGTCCATTTTCCAAGTTTGCAAATCGTTTCGTTTCGTTTGAACTTTTCAAAAGCCTAGTTTTAACTCGCTCACTTAAACAGTCATCAGTTATGGCTGCAGACGGAAACTATAACAGCAATTTCTGTGGAGTACCCTGATACTCCCACAGTCCAAAGATATGCATGTTATTCTAACTGGTGATTCTACACTGCCCTTAGCTGTGAATGTGAGTGTGAGTAATTGTGTCTATGTTCACTGCTCACTGATAGGCTGGGGGCAGGTGAAACTAAATGAAGGTCATGTGATTGAACTAACCAGTCAAGAACGCTCCTTTTTGATCATAACCCCCCCTATGGCTGGCTACTCTGTAATGTTCAGTATTATTATCCAGCTGCACTGCGCCATAACAGGGGAACCGGGTGCATAAAGGGGCCAGATGTTTACAGCCATCATTGATGTAAACATTCTCAAATTAAAGCTCAGAGGCAATATTTTAATCCCAAAGTCATGTTACATTTCAAACCCAATGAGCTGTAGTAGGGAAGCAAAATAATAGAGAGTGTCTCAGTGTTCTGAAAGTGCTGTTAAAAACAGATGCTGAGGAACAACAGAGGCACGTAATTGCAGTGTCTGTTGGACTGCTGAGTTGGAAATAGCATGCAGCAGGAAGAAGAAATGCAAAAATAAGCATGTAGCACGCGTTCTCTGTATTATAGATGATTTTGTCCATGCTGTGGATGCACTGCTCTGTCTGCATTATCGCGTCTAAAAACACTCTTCTCTGCCTGCCTCATCCTCCACCTCCTTTCACCCTCTGCTGCTGTGAATGCAGCGCTGACTTCCAGTTTCTAAATCCAGCAGCTCTCCAGCCCTTTCCATTTCCCCCCTCTTTGCTTACCTCAACTTCCCCATTCACACCATCCTCTTCCTCCTCCCTCTCTCCCTCACCCTTTCACCCCATCATCCTTATTACTACCAGCGCTCACACAATCGCGCGCTCATTTTCTGGAGGCTCATTTAAAATCTCTCATCTTTTAGTTATCTCTCTATAGCACACAGCACATAATAAAATCCACTGAGCTGCCGTGAAGCTTGCCTAATATAAATGTGTTCACGTGCACGTTGTAGTGCGTTGTAGTGCGTTTTTGGTTGTTTCACAATTTCTGCACGGGCTTATTAGTTTGTAATATGGCACCTTCCTCTGAGTTGTCCTCTGGGAACTGCAGGGGATAGCATTTCCTTTTCCTCGTGCTTTTTTCCTTCTTATTCTGTCTGTTTCAGAAGAGAATGCTGAGCCTCGTCATGAAAACATGGCTGACGATCATGCACGCTTTGGACAAAGTATTTAAAATAGACCTCTGTTCCACATTTTTTTAAACTTTTGAGTTGTGGGCCATGGATTTTATTCAGGAGATGGTTAGATTTACATTAGCTGCTATACTTCCAATGAGAAACAGTCTTTTTAAAACCAACAAAATCTAATGAAGCATGTCAACTCACTGCCAGAGAGGCATTCAGTCAGACGCCAGGCACTTTGTTAGCTTTGCGTTTTGCACTTTGCTTTTCCTTTTTTCTTACGACTTTTTTCACTTGCTGCTTTACACGCTGAGAACAACACTGACGCCATAACTTGATGTGTCCGCTTTTGTGTAACGAGCCACACCAACACCCTGGCATTAACTGACCTGCTGGGAATAAGAGCCTGCAGTTATGCAGTTATGCAGTTACTGCAGTTATGCAGTTACTGCAGTTATGCAGTTACTGATTTGTAAGCCACCCAAAACTGAGAAACTGGGTGTTTGAATCCAAAACCTGGTGGACTTGGTTCCAACTCATGCTTACATACAATAAGTCTGTGGTGGGAGTGGGATCCTTCCTCCAGTTTTGCGTAACATCATGATGTATTTCCATTTGAAATTTGGATTTTCTGGTTAGCAGGTTAACCCACCAAGCATCCAACATCCACAGATGTTAAATTTTGGACTTACAATTCAGACATTATTTTCTTTTTGCTCAAACACTGAAAACAATCCTGGAGACATAGTCTTCTTGAAAAAGTGTACAAAAATATGCTTTTTTACAGCAGTAATTATTGACAAAATTGACTGGTTCATAGACCATATGTGAACATGCCATGTAGTTTATAGTTCTCATATAACCCTGAATATATCCAAA